AATCAATGTTTATCCTTAGCCAGCAGTGTCAGGGATCCCTCAATGCTGCCTCGGGTCCACTATTCCTCAATCTGTAATGATAGAGCTATCCTCTGAAAGCTCTGTGCAGTGACCACCCCCCACTTCCGCACTTCTATCCGCTGTATCACCAATAATGATTCAAATTATAAAGTAAAGGAGTTATTAACAGCTTTTTCAAATTTTATATATATATATTTCCTCGACATCATTATCATGTTAGCCAAGAGGAATCTAATCTGTCACTATGCCTTTTCACTGAGAGATGAGGAGTTTCATGATGGCGCTGTCTGTGATGACAGGAGAGGAATGATTTATAATGGTCTGTTTTACGTCTCATGTCTTATCAGACTTAGTTTAAAGCACTGCTTGCCTTACTTGTCCAGACAGAGCCCCAAACTTTGTACGCCATGGTACATCGCTACCACTCCATACAAACACCAGGTATTTTCTTACCTGTGTTAGAAAATACTCCAGTAAAAGATGAAGCACTGAAGAAACTTCTTTACTCAATAAAAGTTAAAAAGTACAGGCTGTGAAGTTGTTAAGGAATATATTCTAAAACACTTCTTCAGCAAAGACTTAGAGAAGAGAAACACACAGAACTTCTTGCTAGCAAGGGCAGCCTCCAGACTGAGACTCGTGCTGAGAAACTGCCCCGGTCTTTATTTATACTTCAGTGTGCGTGTGTGTGTGTGTGTGTGTGTGTGTGTGTGTGTGTGTGTGTGTGTGTGGTGTCCTGCTGATCAAAGGGTCATATAACATGAAAGCACAAAAGGTACATCCTTGGTCATCTATATGTAAAGAAGCACTTAAACTAAAACTGACATAGCTACGTTAATCCTGCCGTAAAACAATAAGACAAGGTACGACCTCTCTCATGCTCCTGGGATGTGGGTGTGAACACCTTAGAATGTTACAGACCTCCTAGGATGAGACATTCTTTCAATATGCCACCAACTATATACTTCTACACACAAATAACTACATGCAGTATTCTACCATATGCAAACTTATATCACTAAAAGATTATACTGATTACTAAGTACAATTTTCCATTGACATTCCCTCCTGTTGTCAGTAAAAACTTTAAGTGAGATATCAGTTTGTAACATCTTGTTGTACATTTTCTGTCACATCATCATTAATTACACAAAGTCTTCATGTTCCAACAGGTTGGGGTCATTATCATCATCACTTGTCATGGCTATGTATGCAGCAACAGTAGAAAATATTATGCGGTTAATCATGAGTTTTAGGCATGGCAATATACACGTTACAAAGACACAAAATAAAAGTAAAAATATCCCAACTCCGATGAGTAGTCTTTTTAGCACCTGTAACCAGGAGCCAGTGTAGAGCCAAGAAAGCCAGTCACTTGTATCACTTACATAGTCCTGATTTTGAGCCTGCTGGATCTGTCTCAAAGCATTCAGGGTATCAGTCATGTTTAATGAGTGTACATCGTCCAGTATGTAAATGCCGCATGTTTTATTGAAGAGGATGCAAAATCCCTCTCTCTCTGCTAATATCATAGAGTAGTTCTTCCCTGGGAGTTGGTCCAGGAACACATATAGTGTGGGGTATGTTGCCGTGCTGGGTAGATGGGAACAGACATAATAGTCTGTATTTGCCGATTCTGCTTTTGTTCTGTCGTGGATATAACGGTACCAGGCATTGTTCATCCGCGGAGGGATGTGGTCTTGCGTCATGTCTCTTAGGTGAGAGTTGTCATGTGTCCATCTTTTCTGCCTGCCTCCTGGTTCAGCTGTTTCCGGCACCAGCTGGGGTCCTGTAAAAGTGAGCGTCGTAGTAAAGGTAACCAAGAGGGTCCACCTTCCCATGGTTGCACACAGGTCCGTCACGCCTCGCACTTGGTTGCCCTAGAGTTGATCAGAGGCTGGAGGTTGAAGTGCGAGCTTACCCTACGGGGGCTCAATCAGCACTCCCCCCTCACCACTGAAACAACCAAGTGTGAGATTTCTCTATTGTGCTGTCTTGGGGGTGCTGGGGTTTCCTGGGACCTCAACCTTTTTGCAGTGGCTCTGATAAATCCAGGAGGGTCTCTCTGCTATTTTGCAGGCAGTTGAAATGGTCAGAAGCACTTGAATTGGCCTCTATCAACCCCCATCACCTCACTTCAGGCCTTCATCCTGCAGTAGGAATACTTATGACTCCTCCATTGTCCAACCTCTGCAGAAAAACCCCTCTGTGGAAAAAGGTGCTGGGTCCAGTTATCTTACTGCTGTTATGATCCCAGCAGTCTTCAGCGTGCCATCGTATGCACAGTATAGTGGCACAGCATTAGGTGATGGTCATAGGAAACTGCTGTCATCACCACCATAGCTTCTGGTTCCTGTGCTTTCACAGAATCATGATGCCATCCTCAGACTCCCTCTGCGCTGTCGATGGAGCTTGGCACGCTCCCCTCATCCTTCAGGTGCCCGTCCGTCGTCCACAATCTCCTCTGTTGGCCTCTGGAAATCCCCCTTGGCACAGCTCTCATTCCAACGCAGTTTCATGGTCCTTGCTGTGGCTCCAAAGTCTGATCTCATGATGGGCCCCAACCAGCTCGACCTTTGACCTCAACCACTGCCTGGGCTGTCAGCTATGCCTGGAATGGTTCTCGCTTCTCACTGGGCCTCTGAAGATTTCTCAGGAGATCCCTTTCAGCAGACTGCTGCATCTTTATTTCCTTGCTAGGAGGAAAAACTTCTATTTGGAGAGCATGTCAACAATCATCAAACCACATTCTTTAGTTCAGTGAACTTCACTTATAGGCCATCAAAGCCTCATCTGAACATGGATGCACCACTTGCATAGGTTTAATACCCGTTGAATGAACTGTTAATCACACAAATCGCTGCAAAAATCATATAGAATAGAATAGAATTCAACTTTATTGTCATTGCACATGCACAGGTACAGGGCAACGAAATGCAGTTTGCATCCATCCAGAAGTGCTTTAGTGATATAGATATATTACAATATATATTAGCAATAGTATAGATATGTAAGTATATTACAGAAATGGGTCTATTATGGTATGTTATAATGTACACGGTATGAAGTATGTTGTGAATATTCTATAACTATAAGTATGTACAGGCTGTAGTGAGTACAAGCTATGTACAGGATATGAACATGATATAAATATGAAAAACTATACAGAATATGAAATAAATAACTTTACAGAAATCTGAGATATAGAGCTATACAGAAATGTGAACTATGCAAGTTGTAAACAGTTGTAGAATTAAAGATTATCGAATGTACAGAATGATTATTTACACAGAGCTATACAGTAGTGCAGTTAAGATAAGTGAGGGTGTAGATAGTTTCTACAGAGGCTATATAAAGTGCTAGTGGTTGTGAGTGGTGGTTCAGTCCATGTTATTATTGTGTTTGAGGGTACAGTTGTCCATTGTGGGTGTGTGTATGTTCAGTCCATGAGTTTAACGTGGGTCAGATGTCAGGAGGCAGAGTTCAGGAGTCTGACAGCTGTGGGGAAGAAGCTGTTCCGGTACCTGGTGGTCTTAGTCCGGGGGCTCCTGTAGCGCCTCCCAGAGGGCAGGAGGGTGAAGAGTCCATGTGATGGGTGACTGGGGTCTTTGATGATTTTCCCAGCCCTTTTCAGACACCGCTTCCTGTAGATGTCCTTTATGGCAGGAAGTGGTGCTCCGGCGATGCACTGGGCAGTTTTCACGACCCTCTGCAACGCCTTCCGGTCCGAGGCAGAGCAGTTCCCGTACCAGACTGTTATACAGTTGGTCAGGATGCTCTCGATGGTGCAACGATAGAAGTTCACCAGGATGTCTGAGGACAGGTGGTTCTTCCTCAGAGTCCTCAAGAAGAAGAGGCGCTGGTGAGCCTTCTTGACCAGCTTGAAGTACTGTGACTTATTGCCCCGCCCACTTTTACCACTTAAGCACAGCAACAAAGTATCTGTACTTTGGTAATGCCCACCTCTTTTGATAAACCATGCAGGGTTTATGCAATTTTTTTTTGCACACCCTATAAGAGGATGAAGCTCGTACACCAGGGGTGTCAAACTCCAGGCCACAAGAGCCGGTGTCCTGCAGGTTTTATATCTCACCCTGGGTCAACACACCTGACTCCAATGATTATTTTATTACCAGGCCTCTGGAGAACTTCAAGACATGTCGAGGATGTTTTAGCTATTTAAATCAGCTGTGTTAGATCAAGGACACATGTTATCTGACAGTATGTTTGCACTGAAGCACCGCAGCAATTTCCTAATGTTGTAAACCTGCTCAACATTTGGCAGTAAAACCCTTTCTGATTCTGATTCTGATTCTGAAACCTGCAGAACACAAGGCTTGGAGTTCCCCACCCCTGTAGTATACAGTCACACTTTCACTGACCCTCAGTGACCTCTGACCTTCAGTGACCGCTGTCCTCCTGTTGCAGGTGTGTGTGTGCTGCATCTCTCTGCACTGACTGTTTCTGCAGGTGAGTTGATGGAAGTGAAAACCATCAGTGAGACTCCAACAAGAACACAAATACATTTAGTCTGTCTGTGTATCTGTCTGCCCTTCAGTCTCTCTGAGTGTAACTCCAGATTACAAGCAGTTCTTCAATGGTGCTGCTCTAGCGATTCTGTCTTGTGATGATGATGATGAACAAAGAGTTGATGGATGGACAGTGAAGAGGACCAGAGGAGGAATCACTGAGAGATGTGGAGCAGCTGAAGGCCTTGTTCTTAAAAATTCTCTGTGTCAACTCAAGTTGCGTAACCCCTCTGATGGAGCTTACTTCTGTGAAAGCTCATCTGGGCATCAGCGTAGTGATGAAGTCAACATCATTGTTTCAGGTACAGATGTTCCAGCTGTGTCTGTATGACTCTGTGTGTTGGTGGAAGTCTGTCTCTGTATCACTCTGTTTGTGTCTCTGTTGGTCAGCTGGTTCTCTGATCCTGAAGGCCCCTTCATCTCCTGTGTGGACAGGAAGTAATGTGACTCTGCTCTGTCAAAGCAGAGACGGTGAACCGGTGAAGTCTTATTTCTATAAAGATGGGGACATGATTGGATCTGATCCTAAAGAAAATTTGACTCTCACTAATGTTCAGAAGTCTGATGAAGGTCTCTACTCGTGCTCCACTGAGGATCATCCACATACTCATGAAAGCAGGCTGACAGTCAGAGGTCAGTGCAATGATCTTTCTTATTCAACCTCTTTTCCTGGACTTTAGTAGAAATGTCATAGAGATCAATGAAAGGTGGTAGGTTATATCTTACTTTATCGATACATGTTCTCTTAATGTATTCAGGTCACATAAACAGAGCAGCCAGAGAAAATTATCCCATCATTACAAAGGTTGGAATATTAAAGAAGGAACAAAGAAGTCCATCTTCACTGTGGTGGCACAAAACCTCTATTTGACTTTAAAACTCTGCTGGATTTACTAAAGAGACTCAGTGTCAGGTTGTGACTGACAGATGTGAACATTAGTTTCTTTTCAGGCCCATGTTTCTCTTTCAAGAGGAGAATATTTAATATAAATATAAATGTGAGTCACTAAGGTTTAACCACAGAGAAAAGCACATCTCATTGCTGCTGTGAAAGATGCAGGGAGTCTGTTTGGAATGAGACCATCTCCTCTGCTGATCGGGCCCACCACAGTTGACACACCTGTCCATTGGTATTGTAGGCAGGCTTGCAGTCATGTGTGTGAGGACAGTATAGGAGAGGACTCAGGATAGGCAGAATCACTCGTTCCAATCGTCTGCAGTTGATCCTGATCTAACTCATTTATTCTATAATGCTGATTTCTGTCTGCGGTCTTGAGATGAATATGAGAGAAGAAGATGGGTACGCCCAGACCGTCACTGCACTCCTCTCCATCCTGTGCCTGATAAAGTCCATAAATAAAGACTTTCATGACAGACAGTCTCAGTGTATCCTCTTCTACAGGAGGCGACACAGGAAAAACCTGAAGCTCATTTCTTTAGTATTTCAAGAATTCAGACAGCTCTGTCTATCAGTGAGGAAGCTTCCACAGACTACTGGAACTGATGAACTGACCAGATAATAAACTGACTGAACCATCTTTGTCATTGTTCCGGCAGATCCTCCTACTGTAAAACCTACCACTACTACTACTACTACTACCACTACTACTACTACTACTACTACTACTACTACAACAACCACAACCACTCGTCGTCGCTCTTCTGGCCCTCCTCTCACAGCCTCCATCATGTCAGGTCTGGTTTCTGTGGTTCTCCTGGTTCTGGTTTGAGTTCTGCTCCTTTGGAGGAAGCTAAAAGGTAAGAAGTGTGTCAGCTGAGTCACAGAGCACATACATGTGTGTGTTAGGGAAGGTCAAAGGTCACCAGATCTGAGCTGAAATTGCTGATGTTTGTCTTTGAAGAGGAAAGTGAGGACGCACTCTGCCTTATGGAGGACCTTCATCCTACTGTCTCATCATTGCCCCCCCCCCCCGAAGCTCCAGTAACCAGTATAAAAGGGGGTGTGTCTTCAGAGTGTCAGCTTTGCTGTTGTATCTTTACTGCTGGGCCTGGGATTTTACATGTTTTGTCTTATTATGCAGCACTTTGTGGTTGTTTTTAAAAGTGCTTTTAACCCTTCAAGACCTACCATTGAACCAATTCTGCCAGAGCTTTTCTTTATATTTTTACATGCTGCCATTTTGGGGAGCATTTCAAGTTACTGTACACCAATACAACCATTATAGCCCAGATTTTAATAACATGTATGCATTAAGTGCATAGTAATTACATAAATTGCAAAAAAAGTGCAACAAACTACAAAAAAACTGAAAATCGCTTTTTTTTGTTAACATATATTTCTAGTTAGCGAAATTTAAGATGCTTATTCCTCAAAACTGTAAATACAAAAAAGTTGCACAAAATAGTTTCCCATCACAGGAAATTTATTTTATTAAGTGTCTTCATAGTTTTATTTTTGAAATACGCCAATTTTTATATACTGCAGGAAAAACGAAAATAAGTATTATAATGCAGATTTGCAAAAAAATAGTTTATTTTGATGCATATGCTATTTCCAGCAGTACAATTTGAATTCTAAGCATCCCAGAAACGACACAGAAAGTCATAAAGTCAAACATAACTTTTAAAAACACCAGTATAGGCTTAGAAGGGCCTGATGGTAACAAACTACATTTCTGCGAAAATGACGTCACTTCTGGTTTCGGGCAGGTCACGGCGGATATGCGATAGTTCGCGCTGATGAACGTAGGAAGTGTTACGAACAGCTGATCGGATCGGCAAAGCATGTTTCTGGGATATTATGTTTTTGTTGCTGCAAGTGCTTTTTATGCAATTTTTGCAAAGCTATAGGACAAGCTGATGTAAGTACAACTCCTCCGGTTTCATATGCAAAAAAAAAAATTGCGCTATTTTACATGGTTGCAGTGCTACTGGGATTTAAAAATAGTTATGCAAAACGGAGCATGCCCACTCTGACTGGCTTTTTAAGGGTTAAGTAAAATATTTTTGGATGTTTAAAGGTTTTCCTGCAGCTCTGCAATGACTTGTATTTTCAGACATGACAGCTGTGACTGTGTGTGTATTACACAGGTTTTGCGCTGTAATAATGAACTATTAAAGTTTCTCACCACAAACACATTAATGTCTGAGTCTTTGTTCAAGATTGCTGGAGAGCAGCTGGTCTCCAAGCACAGCACCATGACAGGGTGGCAGTCAGTAGAAAATGTGGAGATCAGGGAAATATTTTACTGCTACTATTCATAACCATCATCATTACCCATTACATTAATATCATTTCATCAAAGCATTTATTCAGTAAATTACACATGTTCTTAGTTAAGATTATTACACCGATCACAGAGAGCTCTGTCTAGTAAAAGGTTAGAAGCATCAACGGGCGGGGTGAGTCTGAGTGCGTTTGGAGGTTGAGACACACACACAAACAGTAGTTAGACTCATATTTAGGTAAGAGTTCAAATAATAGTTTGCAAAAGCTTGTGACTGCAAAACTGTGTCTGCCTAAGGGACAGTTTGTTCCAGGAGATGAGCGAGAGTTAGAAGATTAATAGGAAGCACCTGGCCTCAGACGGAGAAGA